GAGAGAGAGAGAGAGAGAGAGAGAGAGAGAGAGAGAGAGAGAGAGAAGGATTGTAGTATGAGGCTAATGTTTTGAATCAAACCAGATCTTCTCACAAATCTTCGTTTGGTCATGTGGTCTTGGGTAAATGGCTGGCCTCTCCAAGTTCCTTGTCCCTTTCTCTGGTACAGAACTCACAAGACCAGCTTTAACCTTCCATCATTATAAAGATGCAATAAGGCCATATATATGAAGTGTTCAGCATAGAGGCTGTCATGGAGCAAATGGTAGCTCTTTCTCAGTGGTAGAATTTTAAATAAGTTGATTTTGGACATGGCATTGACCATACAGGTAAACCATCACAAAGCCATTTGCCCTTGACTACCATCCGCATAACACGTGGTTTTAATGGCTGATTATAGCATTTTGTAATACAGTCACTGCCTCATTTCCTATTGAGTTTAATTGCAGTGAAGGCTGCTTCTCTCAAAGGTGAGAGAAAGCCACATTTCCCAAAGTGCGTCAGACAAAACTGCAAAAAATGTTATTTTGATGGAGAGACTCAGAGAACATGTAGGTTCGTATGAAAGAGCCCTAGGAAGTGGTGGTCACGGAGGACTGAAGATCCCTGAGAGATTGGTATGTGTTGCCTGGATAGCCAACAGGGAAAGACAATGTCTCCTTGCCCACAGACAGGAAACCTGGTTGGCTGCATCCTGACCTGCAAACCTGGCAGCTGATGCAGAGTCTGTGGGCTAGAACGTTGAAGTTATGATGACCCCACCTTGGCTGGAAACTACACAGACCACAGAGAATTGCTGAGATCCCAACCTGAGAAAGAAATGCCAGGGTGTTAATGAGCTCCTGGCACGGCAGCTTGGGCGTGTGGATTACATCTGTAGAAACCAGTGCTCAGGGATGCCAAGGAGTTCACTTACCTGCAAGGGTTGGTGATTTCCTCTGGTGTTGTTTTCATAAAAGGAGAAATGGGCTTTTCCACAAAGGATCCAAAGCCCAGTCTAAAGTTGCTGGTTAATTTAGACATCTCTTTGGCAAGCCGGGAGCCCAGCTCTTTGATTGTGTTGAGGTCATCATCCATGGAGGCCGAGAGGTCCATGAGGTAATACAGATCGACTGGGTAATCTTCCGTTTGGCGGACCTGCACTTGCACGGTCTGCTCACCGCCTATAATGGCCCACGAGAAACAAATCCATAAACACAGCAGTCATTTGTAACTGACCAATCCCTAGCTAACCGGCTATTGTATTTCAGAGTGATCTTAGTAAGGTGCGTGCCATCTCATGAACTGCGTGGTAGCGTGTATAAATGAACACGTCCATGGAACTCTCTCAGCGGTGAGTTTGGAGGGACTGAAGGAGGTCTATGTCGGGATATTTTATATCTCCTTGGGAGAAGGAGCAGCCATTTAGATGAACGATAAGCCCCGTCTTTGTATGTGTGGCTTTGGAAAAGGTGAACTAAAGAAAGGGGAGATTAAATCTACATTTCAGCCTTTGAAGAAATGTACAGTTAATGTGGGCGACATTTGAGTAATTCAAACAGTCACTCCTAGAGAAGCTGTCTTCAGTGACACATTCAAAGTGCCATGAAGAGACGTGTGATTCCCGTGTCCTTCGGATGGGGAAATGAGTACCACTGCAACCAAGGATGTGTGCTGGGTGCCAGACGTGTTGGTGGACCATCAGCGACAAAGCTAGGAAATCGAGCATTGCACATTGCGTACCTGGCCTCAGTGTAAGAACCACGCTCTGAGGAGAAATCTGGACAATGTCAGAACTGTTTCTCTGTCGGCCCACGCTCAGTGGCTTATTTTGAAGGATTTCTACTTGGGAGACAGGGTTTTCGATGAAGGGCAGTTGACATCCTTTGGCCAAAAGGTTTGTAGGTGTGTCGCACCTCTCACCAGCTCCGGACGGGTGGGTAAAATTCTAAAAGAGGGGAAAAAATCACCAGGAAGGAAAGGAGACAAATCTGCATCGCTTTGTAACAGGCCAGACATTAATTCTCTGATGTGCTTTGTGAGCTAAGGGTATGCTAAGTACCTCCTATCCCCACATGGCTGGTGGTGATTGTCAGGTGGAGTTATGTGATAGCTGAACAACTGGAGAAGTTGGCCAGTAAGAATTTGAACAAAATTGGAACCTCTTTTGTGTTATATTCAGTCAAATCTTAAAGTCAAATCTTAAAGTTTCTTTTTTTTTAAATTCAAAGTTCATATCTTAAAGTTTCTCCCACGATCTGAGTGGATCTTTAAAATGGCTGAATTCCTAAAGTTGACATTTTCCTGTGAATTTACTTCTTCAGGATGAATGGTTGTTTTTCTGGACTCCTAGGACTGGCATGCTTTGTAAATCTGTCGCCAAATCCAGAGAGTCATTTCCTGTAGATTCCTAAAGGACAGGACACCTGACATCTCCCTGTCTGGCACTCAGTTGGTTCTGTTTGCTGATGTGTCCCCATCAGTTACAGCATCACTTCATGGAAGGTGAACTCTCAAGGACTTTAACTTCAGCATCTTCAAAACTTCTAGTTCAAGGTCTCTTAGAGCTTTTGCTCAGGTTTGGAGGTTAAAAGAGAAGATGGTTTAAAGTCTGCACGCTGGAATTTCAGAAGGTCCCAGTCCTTCTGGTCAATCCAGAGAGAAGGCTGTGATATGTAGGGCCTAGCAGAGATGTAACTGCTCTGATCTTAAAGCACCCAGAGTTGGGAGATGAAGCCATAACAAGAACAGAGCAGGTGCTACTGATAGGCAAAGTTATTCCTGAGCCGAACTGACCATAGGCAGGATTGAATTGAGGCCCTTGGACTCTCTCTCTCTCTCTCTCTCTCTCTCTCTCTCTGTGTGTGTGTGTGTGTGTGTATGTGTATGTGCATGTGTGTGTGTGTGTGTGCATGTGTGTGTGTGTGTGTGGTGGGCTCATGGAAACCAGTTTGGAGTCTACTACGAACCAAACTAACGCTTACATCTTTTCCTTGCCTCTTAGGGTTCTAAGTCACGCCTTCTATTTTCCCCAACTAGGAGTTACGGTCTTCTAAAACTGACGTTCGAAAATACAGCTGTTTCCCGGCTTACCAATCAGACCTATACAGATCTGCGGCTCTAGCCGGGGTATGGCGAACTCTGCAACTTCCCATGATGCAACAAAGGCAAACAGCGGCTGGACGAGGCCTCAGAATCCTTCCTACCACAGTGGAATGGCTACCAGTTGTGTTCAGCCTTTGCGGAAAGAGCAGAGGTGGTGTGAACCGCATTAGCCATCTGTGTATACCCTAAGCTTTGTTCCTTCTTTGCTCTAATGGTCACAGCTGTCTGCCACAGCTGATGCACTAATGACTGCGTCGATTATTGGAGAGGCCTCTGAAATGATCTGACCTTGAAACTTGCTGATCCCTTGGTCAGCTACAAAGAAAACTCTCAGAAGCACCTTAGGAAGCACTTACTAATGGAAAGATGAATTTAAATATAAATTCTGGTGGGTTTGAGAGATAGCTCAACAGCCAAGAATGCTTATTGCTCTTCCAGGGGACCCAACTGTGATTCCCAGCACCTACACCAGGAAACCTACAACTGCCTATAACTAACTGTAGCGTCAGGTGATCTAATCCCCACTTCTGGCCTCCACGAACACATGAATGGGTACATGCACACACACACACACAGGAGTAAATGTAAATTCTAGATCAATTTTTTTGTCTCTGCCATGAAACTGATATTGTCTTCTAGACCATGTCCAAGGAACATATGGATTTGTTTCTTGTTGACTATTCTCAACCCTGTATTTGTTATTTGAACTCAAAAGAGCACAGTTGCCTTGAATTTTGTTTATGGTCTAAGCAGTTGAGGCAGTGGAGGGAGAGTGAGCTGGTTTATGCTTTCCTGCCTGTGAGGCAACACTCCACACACACAGTGAGTGTGGAATTTGGGTCCTAACAGCTACAGCCCAGTTCTGAGCCAAGCATCTACATTCCTTCCCCTTTGAACTTGCTACTGGGTTCTTGCTGTCGGCATTTATAAGCATTGACTGGTATTTAGATTCTTTCCAGTGGGTGGAACTTAAAATCCTGAAAGCCAAGGGCTCTTTTTCTTAGTGCAAATCCTTCACACGTTGCTCTCTGCATTACGGCACAGGCTGTGACTTGGTCTGTCTTGTTTGTAGCCCTCCTGGTCTACACATACATGATTTCACTCTGACCAGACAAGGACTGTTTCTCCCATGCTTTGCAATGGCTGTGCAAGAGTCACTCAGTTCATGAACAAGTGATTTGTGAAAGAATTGCCCCATGCGTGAATCATAGTTTTCCCTTTTTGAAGCAGCTAGCAGAGACTCACAACAGATGTCAGGTCCCAGATGAAACAGAACCACACTGTATCAACATGAAATGCCTACTTCACTTTGAACAACATCATCTCCATGGTTACCAGTTATCTAGACAGAATGTTACACCTGTAACCAGCTAGAAAACCTTTAAAGTAAGAGAAGCAGAGGGCTGGCACCCGTTTAGCCTCAGCACTGGGGAGGCAGAAGCAGACGTATCCCTGTGAGTTCCAGGCTAGCCTGGTCTACAGAGTGAGCTCCAGACTAGCCAGTGTTACGCACTGAGACCCTATCTCAAAAATAAAACTTAAAAAACATAATTAATTAACTAATTAATTAGGAGAAATTGCTAGATTTAATAAAGGATGTTTAGTTAAGTTTTTTAAAAAATAACTTGACATCCATACCTTGAGCAAATTGTTTTCGAAGTACACATGAATATAATTTTGATTCTCTGACACTCAGGTTCCTCTCTTGATCTGATTTAATCATGTGACCATGCAGAGACAACCGCTTTCACTGAGGACATTAACTGATGTGTAAACACTGTTCAAACAGGGTGATAGCCAGTGACTTACCTCCTGGGAGCACCAGGCACAGTGAGGTCCCGTGAGCAAGCAGTCGGAGCAGGTCTCTGCACCGCCCCAGTCACAACCACCTAAGGGCAAAACCAGCATGACGTGGGAGTTAAAGCGGTCTCATTCATTCTGCTTATGGGACTTACACTTCTCACTTGAGCAAAGCTATATTAGGAGATTAATGTTCTGAAGGTTAGTAACTCATGTCTGAGTTTATAGTTTACACCCAACAGATTGGGAATATATACACCATGTGAACAGAAATTAGCTCTCTTTTGTCTGAAACCACAGCAGTGTCGAACTGCTCAGCAGTACTGAATCATCCGGCTTATTCTCCTATTCAGCACCTGCCATGTAATTTCAAAAACTTATCTGTCCCATTAAAAAGGTTTCTCTTATAAATTCAGTCTTTCTGTTCCTAAAATCCTTCTCCACTCTCAATATTATGACTCCCAAGTGGACGGCCTTGTCGTCCAACAGAACAGAAAAGCTTCCGAAGTGGCGATCCCAGCGACACTCAGAAGTCCCACTGTGGAGGAAGGCTGTCTAATCCTCCTCGTTAAAATGCCCATGCAACCTTTGTACTTCTTTACCTAGCACCTAGAACGTTTGCTGGAGGAAATTCCCGAGTCTGCCTACAGTTTGTTAAAGTGTCCCTGTGCCAAGAGAGCCGTCAGACAGATCGGATGAAAAATGACGGCGGGTCTGCCTTCTGGAGCAAATGACAGTCTGTCGAGCAAACAGCGAAGACGAGAGTGATAAACCGGAGAGCTCCGTCTTACCTTGGACGAGCTCATTCCTTCCTAGAAGTAGCAGGAACAGGCAGAGCAGCTCAATCCCCATTCGGTTCAGTTTTCACTGTGCAGACAGATTAAAAATGAATTACCTCCAGGGTTACAAGACCAGAGCTGGAGGCCGTGAAAGTCTTTCTTGCAGTGTAAAAAAAAAAAAAAATAGTCAAACTACTTACGCTGCTTTGAAAAGTAACTCGATCTGTAAACCCAAAAGCTTTCATTAAGACTGATATGAAAACAGAAGCTACCTGGGCAGGCAAAGAAGAAAAGCTGTGTTTAAAAGCAACTTCAACACGGTTACTTCCTTGTTTGCCATATAAGGAAAGCAGGTGTACAATCACCGGGAAGGTGGAGAGATTCATGCAGGAGACATTTTTGTGTGTGTCAGTTCTGTGAGTCTCACTGCGTCCTAGGCAAAGTTGGTGGCTTTGGTAAAATGGTGATCAACGGGCTGTCTAAAGACCAATTGAAATGCACGGTTTTTAATAACAATTTCAATGCAGTAAGGATGTGAAATAAAATGTCAAGATTTAAGCTAAGTGTAAGGAAGCTTTAAAAAAAAGCCAACTGGAAATACCTGAGATTTTTGTTTTTCATGTTAGAGCCTCTGTAGAGAATTGAAATTAGCTCTGAAAAATATAAACATTATTTTACAGTCAAATTAGAAGTTAGATCAAGGAGAACAAAACACAGTTTTCTTATTTTCTAATTATGTGAGATATTTTTTCACGAGCATAGAATTCTTATTTTAAATCCTTATTTTAAAAAGTGTTTTGAAAGCACAGTGTAATAAGATCAACTTGGTCAAAATAAAGAGAACCTCAACACAACAGAAAGAGAAATAGCAGGGAAGATTCTGAACCCCTATTTCTAAAGTACTCTTCCAGGGTGAGGACCACACCGAGTCTTTGGTGGGCACAAGGAAAGTCCTATGCTTGTCTTCAAGTACCAAGATTACAAAATAAGCAAAACATAACCAAAAAGCAAGGTTAAAAAAGAAAAGGTTTCTGGCTTCTAGCCTCTGACTTGGCACATCGGAATTGATTTATTTGTTAAGTGAAAGAGTGATACACTCAAAATGTGCACAGTCTGTGGGTAAATCTGTGAGTTTGTATTCCTTGGGTACGGGGATTCAGGATGTATTTGGAGGAGAACCATGTTCAAGGATTAGATGTGAATATGAAAAGAAGAAACGTTTATGGCCCGAGACACTGAGTGGCAGTGCCCTTGTCTGAGAGGCGAGAGAGGGGGAAATGGCAGCTTTCATGTGGAGGGTGAGCGTCAAGAGCATGGCATGTTTGAGATTCCAGAAGACGCCATGAATGCAACTGGACATCAAATCCCAAGACTTGGGGCAATACCAAACTGTAGAACTGGATATCCCAGCATGGCAACAGCTATGGGGCTGGAGTTATTCAAATCAGGGGTCTGAACGAGCTCTCTGGACGAGGAAGAGCTCTGAGAACTGAGGCCTGGCCCTAACATTACCTAGCAGTCAGAGGAGCAGCGCAGAATAAAGGAAGCTGCTATCCAAGGCCCACGCCATCTTGCCAAGGAGGAACCGTTTTTGTCAGAATACAATTCTCGGAATGTCTCTCATTTCCACACCTCTTGCAGGCAGAGGCAATGGCCGCCTTTGGTCTGGACTCCAAGAATGTTTATAAAGTGAGCAGCCTTTGAAGAGAGGCATAGAGTCTCTCTAACATCAATGGAAAATTGCTGACGACTTTGAAAGTTTCAGACTGTGTCTCTGTCCAGATTAAGGGGCAGGTGTGTGTATGCCTTGCAAAGTTAGCAAGAGAGAGAGCAGGCACACTTGCTGGCTGCCCTTCATGAAAGGCTCCAGTTCTTTAGCTCGGGCTTTCTGTCCTGGAGATGACCTTAAGCCATCTGTAGGCATTGTGGTCCTGTGGGTCGTCTTTTGAGATCCGGGATTGGGAGATGGATGAGATAAAGCCCGGACAGTCAGGTCACTGTTGTTGCTGTGAATGATAACGTCCTTTGTTTCTGTTACAAGCATCCTGTTCTAAGTCAGTACGCCGAATCCACGACAAGTGATTGTGTTAACTTGTCAGTACATTTACACCAGTGCTCATTCATGTGCGCGCACACGCAGATGTAAATAAACAATAAATTTAGACCACACAGAATGTTAGAAAGTGTAAACATTCAACAAACAAACAAAAACCCACCCTATGACCCAGAAGTCCCACTACTGGGCACATAGCCAAAGAAATTGAGGTCCATACATTGAAAGAGTCACCTGAGCTTGTGTGCTTAGAAATGTCACCTTTATTCTGTCCTGTACAGCAAGTTGAATAGAATGGAAACTGTTTTGTCCAAAGAAATAGATTGGATGTGGAAAGACAAACATAAATACACCTGCTTATAGATACATAGAAAGTAAATAGCTGGGCTCAAAGAAGTAACAAAGAGAAGAACGGAAAAGGGAAGAGGGAGGAATGGAGAGATGATGGTTGATGGGTATCCGTATGCAGCTTCTGAGTAGGAATAATATCTAATGTTCTAAAACACAGTCTGTCAACTTTGGTTAACAATAATTTATTGAATATCTAAATATAGCTATCAGAGAGGATTTGGAACATTCCCCCCAAAGAAATGATACATTTCTGGGGCAACGATATGCCAGTGACCCAATCATGTTGTATACATTCATTGAAAGCCCACATTCCACCCTGAGAATGTATCCAATTATTATGTCAATTAAAAATAAAAGTGTATCTTAAGAGAATGCATTTGACACAATGGAAGTGCTCAGAAAACACCTTCGGGCTGTTTTTAAATGAGAGCAGTATCATGGACACAAGAAGGTCATGGCTCAATCTTGTTTCAGGTGTAGCCCCAAATTCCACAGGCTGTGTTTTTGCTCCCAGAGGTTCATCGTTCCGCTCTCTAACCTGGATTTTTGCTATAGGAGGCTTTCTGTTTTCTCCCAGGGTTTTGTATATGAGAGTTGGAAACTGAATATAGGCTTCTGGGGAAAAAAATCCAAGTAGTCTATAATTTGTTTAGCTCTCTTTGCAGGTTTCTCACGCTTGCCTGGAAACATACCTTCAAAGGACAGTCTCCCAGGACGTGAGCCCAGACACAAAGGAGCCTGTCTAAGGTCAGACAGCTTAGAGTGACAGAATGCTGAAACCCCAGAGGCCTTCAGCCCTTGCTGCTTTGAGACAGTCTCCTCAAATCACACCTCTTTCTTCAGACGGAACACATGACTTTCCAACACTGCGTTGGGAGAAAAGATCGCTTGCGTCCATAAGGCTGCCCCTGCGTAACTGAGACAGCATAGAGATGCCTGCATCCAGAAACATCCCAGGCCCCAGAACTGTCTGCTCACCATACTTCTCGGGCTGCTTGCGTCAGTGGCTGTGGGTGAACTGGCACCTTGAGTGTCTGCACACTTTTCCAGCTACCCTCTCCCCACCTTTGCTGGGATTCTAGTGGCCACCAAATGTCTCTTCTTCCTGTAGGGCAGTGGACCTACTCCGTTGTGGTCAAGAGAACTCTAGTGACTGCTCTTGCACATGGGCTATGAGTGGGAGTTGGTGCATATTATTTCATGACCTGCCAACTGAATGGAGGCAGCGACGTCCCGAGAGAATTGGGAAAACCCCGTTTGACTTGTGAAATTGAGTACCTTGAATTGAACTGGACTTTTAATGCAATATTTCATATAAACACTTCTGTCCCAGTCAAGAAAATTACAGTCACTTAGGGACATTTATTTTTCTGTTCCCAGCAGTAACCCTCTGCCGTTCACGCCTCCCCTTCTTTCCAGGCTCTTGTACTTGGCCCCTGCTGCCTGCAAACCCTTGTCTGCCTCTCCCCTACCCAGTTCAGTTCACCGCTCTTGGTCTGAGAGACTTTTGAGTCTCTTGTGTCCTCGATTCCCATGGATGTTCCAGGACACCCCTTCCCACTGCTTGTACTTGTCTGAAGGCTGACTGTTTACTGTCACTGAACTGTGAGATTTTTCAAGGCATTAATTTACTAAGAATTTTTTGAATTCTTACTATGCAGCCAGAAGGAATTGCATCTAGCTTCTTTTTTGTTTGTTTGTTTCCAGGAAGTGGCACAATGCATGGCACTTCATAAGTAGTCAGTTAGGTTCATAGGGCAGAATGATGAAATGTAGGTTTTCATTGCCTGGCATTTCACCTGCGACAGGGAAATTCCTCAACAGATAGTGAGCAAATGGATGAGCAAATGAATAAATTGTTTGGGAGAAAACCGAGCTGAAGGGAGGAACTGAAGAGAAAAGAGTAGAAAGTGGAGTGTGAGAAAATATCCTTCCTCTGTCTCCACATTGTTCCTGGTCTAAATAGTATCTTCAAGGCTGTAAGGTTCAGGGAAGGCACGGTCTTGCTTCCTGAAGATGTAGTGCTGAGTGCCCTGTCCTGAGAAGGGGAGGTAGGCAGCCATCCCTGATGACCCCACAAGCAGCCTACTGGTATAGAAAGTCCTTCTGTATATGTGTTGCTTCTATGGGTTAATAAAGAAGCTGCTTTTGCCCAATGACTTAACAGAATATAGCCAGGCTGGAAGATACTCTGGCTAGATAGATAGATAGATAGATAGATAGATAGATAGATAGATAGATAGATAGATAGA